CGAACTTTGACATTTGCGCGGATCACGGTCTCACGGTATCTCCGATATAAAATAATTCCGCGAACAAGCCCACACGACTGTATTTTTTAGAACAAGCGTGATTAATCCATACGACTTCGATTAGTCACCAGAAATTCCCGATCTCAGCCGGCTCTGAGGCACTGAGGAGAGGATTGAGCGATTTCGATGGGATCTCAAGGACTCGATCCATTTTTAAGTGTTTTCACCTACACCGAGGAAAAAGATATTTAAGAAATAAAAGCTGTTTATTCGATGGGTACTAATGACATATTTATTTAAAATCTACTTTAATAAAATATTACTATTTGTATTGATTTTTAATAAATATTTTATATAAATATTTTATATGAATATTTCTTAAAAGTCTAAATTATTTTATTTAAATTTAGAATAAAAATTGTTTTTACGAAAAAGTATAAATTTAAGAAAGTGTTAAGTAAATATTTTCTCATTTGAGGACAATTTTTTTCGGTGTAAAAGGTACATATATTAGTACAAGTAAATATGTTATTAGTATCCATCGAATAAATATTCTTTGTATCAAGTATCAAGAAAACCAGCGAGACCCGAAGAAACATAGGAACAAAATGACAAGTGGAAGAACGTGGAAATAGAAAAATAAACAAAATAAATGAAAAAAATGAAAAATAAATATGACTAATACAGAAAGGATATAAGCTTGAAGCTTAAATGAGCGGCTGGAAAAGCTGCAAATGAAAGATACGAGTAGAAAATATGGAAATTAATTTTTCACTTAGATAAATATAAAGACAATATAAAAATAAATGTAAGGATAATGTAAAGATGAATATAATATACAAGGCAAATATAAAGATTAATGAAAGTAAAGGGAAGTTTCGAATTTTGAATCGGAAAGAGAGAGAAGTTTTGCCGGAAGCCGCTTGCCGAGGGTCTGGAAAAAGAGCAGCCCGCCACTGTCCGCTCTTAAAGGTGCCTTCCAAATGCTGCGCGGGAGAAGGAGCCGCTGATCGTTCTCATTGATACATCAGGCCGCCGCGTGCACGACGAACGGCGTAAACGAACGGGGAGGGGGG